CCCATCGGTTCATTATAACGATGTTGAAAATCGACCAAATTTTCAAACCTGACATCGTGAATAAACTCTGTTTTAAGATATTTCCATACTGCTATATAACTATAATCAATAACGTTCAAATGTAGAACATAATCTTCCTTAAAAAATAACGTCCAAAATAAAACAATTTAAATAAATTTGAAAAGAACATGAACAAATCCAGACATAGTATATATATTTTATTAGATAACAAAAGCGAATTATCTCTGAGACAGACATACAGTTTATTGACATGTATTGACAGTTGTGCGCTTTATGAGTGTTATTTAAATATTGATTTATGTCCGCACTCGTGGTATAGTGGTATCATACATAGACTGAAGACTCTACTGATTATGAAGAAAATACGCGCGAGTTCGAACCCTTCATATGCCACTCGTTTTTGAGAGGATAAAAAATCGTAAGTTAAAAGTTTAAAGTTATAAAATAAGTTATCTTAAGTTAACGAAGTGGTCAGTGGATTCTTGAAAAATAATCTACTGTAAGAACAATAGACTGACGTCAGAGAAATGGGTTAAACAATTTTAAACAGAGATGCGGACTCGATGTAAATGAGACTTTAACTCCAGGACACAAACAACTAACAAAGATATATAGTGGTCAAATTACTGTCTTAAAAGATAGTCGGACATTATACAATATTTCAAACACTAAAAGGATATAGTATACATAGTCTGTAAATAAATTATCAGAGACTACTAAAATTTACTATCGGCATTCATTTCCTAAAAAACAACATAGCAGTCGGATATTAACGAACACAGCCTCTTGGACAATAAAAGAAAACACTCAAATATTAACGAAAACAACGACTTGGACAATAAATCAACTCTGACATGAGTGAAAACATCCGCCGTTGACTGACACAGATACATGGTGCCGGGTTGAAACAATCCTCATATCCCATACCTTGTACAACGATAAAGTTAGAAAGAAGAATGCACTTGTGTGAAGAATAGACGATTTTTGACGACCCTTTATTTTTCAGTTGAAAAATTTGAAATAAAACTCTTTTTACAAGAATGAGGATTTTCGAATTACATGAATTAATCAACCCTTTCTTGTATGTTCTTAAAACTGAAAAAAATGCTTTGTTATATGCAATATTCAGGTTCCACCATAAGGAAAGCTTTTGGCATAAAATTTAAAAATAAACTATTGGACTAGATGATCACGATGAGGACGTGGTGCAGCAAATGTTCGCTCCCTCGAGATTTGGACTTTTGTAAGTCAAACGGACACATTTCTTACAACACTATGGTCTCGGAATTACAAGAAAGGCCCCATTATATTTTGTATACTTGTATCTCTTTTCCTTAGCTCTATTGATAATATCTTGATCTTTTTCATAGTATAGTCATACGTAGTAGTTAAACTAGAGTCTTTACTACTTACAAAACAAAAAACAAAAACAAAAAAAGATTCAAAATGCTGACAATAGTCAAGGAATTGTATATAAATATACAATTCCTTGCAATAGTTTTATAGTTTTAATGGATCGGATGGACTGAAACAATCTACAAGCTGTTAATAACTTCTGTATAAAAAAAGCTTGTATATCAATTTTGTGTGTTGGATTTGAATTTTCAGTACTAGTATTAGCTTAACTTTTGCATAGAATCATGCACTGCCGGTCGTGTTTATATATTGTTTTTCTTTAGCTACTGTTAAACAAGTTTGGTTGTGAAAGTAAACAATTCATAATTTTCTTTTGGTATCAGTATTATTTTGAAAAAGTCCGTTATGATATGAAAGTCATGATATTAGGTATGGTTACAAATGAGACACTTATAGCCACCAAAGACATCAGTTCAAGGCTATAAACTACGGGTCGTCGTACTACCTTCAACAACAGTTTTGTATATATGATCTCCCCCAGTTTTTGGTTGGGTTCGTTTTCTCAGTCTCTAGTATTCTATTGTGTGTGTGTACTGTTAATTGTCTTTTGGTCAGTTTTCGTGTTTTGCCATGGCATTGTCAGTGTGTTTTCGACTTGTGAGTTTGACTATCCCTTTGGTATCTTTCGTCTCTCTTTTATGTATGCAAGACTGTCCCTCATGTAATTCAATGTGAAACAATTAGAATGAGAAAGTTCATGACATGTTAAGCTTGAGCATTGAAGGATCGAAAAACAAACAAAGGGTTATAACGACAACCACTTGGCCAAAGGCATCTTCCTGGCTTTGGAAAAGTTCAGTATATTTTTGTAGGCGCTGATCCCCTCTTCTAACCTTGAACTGTCGGTGTCGTGTACCAGTATAACATTAGAATAAATAGCAAAAAATATTTGAAAAAAGTTTGACTTGTCAGTATTGGACCAAGCACAAAAAAAACCTAACACAATGACAAAAGACAAAAAGTAAATTTAAAAAATAAAGGATATGTTATTTTAGCATCTTAACTAAAAATAGAACATGTTTTCAAACATTGAATTGACAACAAAGTAGGACGCATGAACAATTAAGGCGGAGTATGCAAATTGTATGCCATGATCAAGTATTAGAATGATAAATAAAAAATTCAGGGTATGATGTGGCTTTTCTTTTTTAAAAGACATTGTCGAAATTATTAATAACTTTAATATTTAGGTATTTTTAATACTAATGAAGTCAACATATGTTTACACCAACAGCTAATGATCAAGTTTCTTCTCAAGAAATATGTTGGGTAAAATAGTGCATTCAAAACCAGATATTCCAGAATTCGACCGACTTTATCTGCCGAGCTAGCCTCCTAAATTTGAACAAACAGTTTTTATTGAATATTTTACAGAAATCAAACTGTGATACCAATTATCGAACGATTTGCAATCTGTAACACTTCCCATTGTGAAAATCAGTAAAAATACAATGGTTTTACTGCAAAACGTTACCAGTAATTTCAAGTACCTGCCACTTTTATACGCACAAATCGTCACACACAGCACCAATTTTGATGACTTCATTGGGATAAACGTTACAGTTTAAAGATAAAATATTAACTGGTTTGTTTTTACTGTCAACCATGTGAACTAATTTCACTAAGTTAATTTAATAAATAAAGGCATACAAAGTTTATAATTGGATTATAACTTGTGTAAAAATTTGTACGTTACCTCTAAAAAAATTTGTATTCAACCAGGAAAATTCAATATATATTTGTGACTTTTAGGATTATTCTTGTATAACAGAACAAAGTCATTTATTCTTCTTCAAACTTATTATGATTTCGGCAGTAAAATGATGTTTTTTATATACATTTTTAATGGTTTGTGGGTTCTGCAGCCACAGCAGAACCACAATCCTAGAAAAAGAAAGCTAAAAAAAGAAAAAACAATTAGTCCATAAAAAATTTATGAATAAGAAGGTACCAAAAATTGACAATATTTACTTATAGTTTATTTGCTGTGAAAAATTTGGTTTTGGCGCATTAAAGTCATTTCAAAACATGACGTCATACGAATGAAAATGCAAAGCTGAAGGTTTTTCCATTGCGTTAATCCTCCAAATTCGAATACTATTGTATTAAAATGTAGTTTTGAGGTAGGTGTTGTTTTATTTTATATTCTATTGCATTATTCGCACATTTACTGATTTCAGCAAGTCAACATAGCGGCTCCTTAATTACAGAATGTCAACAGTGGATTTGACGGTAGCTTACAAGAACACAAATGTAAATAAAAAAGGTAAATGTTGGGTTTGAGAATGAAAACACATTTATCTAGCGTTTTTTTAAGTAATAATTAATGCAAGCTACAGATTAATTAGAATTTTTTAGATTTATCTAACAGGGGGTAAACAGAACAGCCACGCTCAAGATAAAATTCGAATATCACGGCCCAGGCCATGTGTAAATTCCAAACAAATCTATGACTTCTATGAATTATTTCGAATCTAATAGGACAAACACGGCCATTACGAAACTGAAGCGAGGGTGGGTATGCTAACGCGCAGGATAAAATTCGAATATCACGGCCCAGGCCATGTGTAAATTTCCAACAAAACTATGGCTTCCATGAATTATTTATTAAATTGTACTGCAATTTATTTCTTCATTTTTATTTACCTTATGATGAGCGATATGTAACACGCACAAGTCAATAAATAATATTTTGAGTACACTAAGTCTATAAAACAGTAGTCAATAAAATTAAAGTCATATGAAACGAGTTTTTTTAAATTTTAGTGTTATCGAAATTATTGAACCAATGCATGCAGATATACTAAACAAAGTCTTGCATGCACGTTTTTTTTTTTATATTCATTACACATCTATAACGTATTATCGACAAATAATATTTCATTCAGTGAGTGTTGATCGCAAACTAATTAACTTTTGAGGTTGTTGCCGAAGTTTACCGGATCGTTACATTGATAAACAATAAAAACAGGGCATGGAAAGCGTGACAGATAAGTGAATTAAAAGAACCATGACATTTGTTTTTATATTTTCCAAGTGTTCCCATTTGTTAATTAAACTATTCCTTAACAGTTGTTAAATGATTTGTTGTATTAAATTTGTTCTCTAAGAATCTGTTATTTCTAATTACCTCGAAGAGCACGTGTGTTAACATCCTTTCATCACGTACAGTTTTCCCCTCGCAATTGCGCTGTGCGGTGGCCGAAGTTATAACGAGAGGTCTCGTAGTAAAGGTCACTGCATACGGGAAAATATCGGCGAAATACTGTCTGGGAAGTCAATAATTCAATATCGGTACATTTATGATGATTTTGATAATATACAGGATTTTCTTTACAAAAAAAGTTAACGTTCACATCTTTTAGAATAAAACTTAACCATTCAAGTATATAAAACATGTTCAACTTTTTTTTAAATTTGAAGTTTCATATGAATTTAAGACTTGTGTGTAAAGAGTTTAACATTTAAAATACACGGCATTATAACCATTATTGATTTGATTTAAAGTTTAAATTTAGAATGTTGTTGTCATTGGTTTTTTTCTTTACCTGTGTATAATCCATTGTCAGCCATCAAAGCGATATAATGGCTCAGGCAGCCGTTAAAATATGTGAAATTTGTGTAAGTGCTTCAGTAACACAATACTGCTTAGAGTGTGAACAATACTTTTGTGAAAATTGTAAAATCTTTCATAAAAGATAAAAAGTAACAAAAAATCACCAGTTTCAGTCTTCCATGGATGTTATTCCGGAAGTTAAATCGAAATGTAAGGACCATAATGAGGACGTAAGTTTTGTATGTAATACCTGTAGCGTAGTAGTGTGCAGCGATTGTGTGACCGGAAGTCATAAAGGACATGAATTTTCCAACCTGATGGACAGCATGTCACAGCTGAAAGAGAATGAAAAAGACCTGCAAAGAAAGGTAAATGAGGCAACCCAAAACATTAAAAAGATAGAAGACGGTTCAAAGGCATTTGATGGAATGGTTGAAGTAGTAGTCAAAGCTATTATAAAAGATGGTACAAAGATCAAAGCTATGGTTGATAAACAGATAGCCAAGATGGTTGCGTCAGTCAAAGATCAATCCAAGAATGAAAAAGAAAAAATTGCAAAAAGCATAGCCGACAATAAATCAGTGTTTAAGGTTGGAAGTGACTTACTTAAGAAAATATATGAACTTGAAAAAAGCAGAAACGACCGGAAACTGTTACAATCTTTACAGAAGCTTTCAGATGACGTAAAAAAGCTGTCAGATGACGTAGCAAAGCTTACGATAGAGCCTCATTCTGAGTATCCCAGCAAGCATTATACTACTACAATAGCAACAGATAACGACATCAAACAGATATTGGGCAAATTCACGATAAGGTAAAGTACGCGGGAAAAAAAATTTCTTTCTTTTCTGTTTTCGTCACCTGGTTTTGTCCTTAATTTTTTGTTTGTGTTGATATATATAGTACTATCAATTCTTCTTTTAAATTAATTCACGTACACTAAATATTATATCCTCCCCTTCCCCCGGTGTGATTCTATATACAATAATGTTATTTGTCCATTTGATCATTATATATAGTAAAAGGTCTATAAATATGTAATATCAAAAAAGAACTGGCATGAAAAGACAGCAAAATAATGATGCATGTACATGTAACACGAAACACGAGTATCCATAGGTCAAAGTATGTTTTCCAATTTAATGTGAATAAATAGGATTTCAACGATCCTACAAACGAATGTGATAAATCTGGCTGAATTATGAAAAGTTTTGCCTTAGTTATTAAATTCTTCTCAAATATTATTCCCTTCATTGTTGCAATAAATTAACTGATAAGACCTCATATTATTTGTTTTGAAAGTTAAAATGTTCATCAACGGTCATTTTTGGTATTTCAGTCAAATAAACGAAGGAAAAGATTGTTTCTGCCTTAAACCTGCGAAATATGGATAATTGAAATAAGTAAACCATAAATTGGCAACAACACACGAGAGCTATCAAACCCATTAAATGTTTAAGTAAATTTTAAGTTTGCATTTTAATCAAGAAAATAATGACCTTATACAGGTAATTATTTTATGCATTGAAGACTTAAAAACTTGGTATCATACTGGTTAATTCTTCGAAAGAATGACTCGTCGTTCTGAAAGAAAATAACTCCATGTAGGTATATAAGAACGATTATTGGAAAGAAATGATGTTTATTTTCACAGTAGTGCTTGTTTTATAAAATAAAAATTGCAAACTCTTGGTATCGTGTGAAAATCAATGTTTTATTTCAATTTACAGGTCGAGTTATCATTGTTAATATATTGTTTAACTTATTTGTCTAATACGATTTTGATACTGTTTAGATTAGTATTTCATTTTAATTTGTAATATAATGATTTAAAAGAAAATCAAACCATTATTTTTTAGTAATCAATTGAAAGATATAGGAAAATATCTCTACAGATGTCAACGATGTGGGTACGTTACTAAATACTTTTTTGTTTTAGTTTAAACATATTTATGTATAGTGGATTGGGAAACAAGTTTTGCATCTTATATTAATCCTTTTCAACTTTGCGGGTGATAGTGTTGCCTTGTAGCGGCATTAGACTGCTCTTTTTCGAAATCTACAAGGGTGTTTTTATCGTGCAAGAGATATGGCTCTCTCTTAACACGGGTCAGCCATTTATCGTCCCCTTCTGATGGACTATCATTGTTTCCTCAAGACCATACTCGCAAATGGCGTCAAGGGAGAGCCGAACATTCAGTCCCTGAAATTTTCATCGCGAAACGGGAATCGAACCAAGAACCTTTGTGTTAGTAGTCCGATGCACTAACCACTACACCACGGCTCTCAGATACTTTTTTGTTCTGACGTGGTGTAAAGTTGTGTATTTATATGTAGATAAATATTAATATAGGACTTTAAAATTCGATAGGGACGCTGAAACCCGATGGATCTGCTAATATTCGATTGTCTACGTTAAAGTGCAATGGTTTGATAAGCTAAAGTACGATGGGCATTGCTATTCAAAGGAACACGTTTAAGTCCGAGGCTTCAATGCGCTAAAGTAAATTTTCCGCGCAAGTGCGTTTGTTCGCTAATGTATGGATGTTAGCAAAGTAAAAAAGCATTATGACGTTACTTAGTATGTACCAACTAACATGGACATGCCTGACATTGAGAATGTAAGTTCAGATTAAGGTTTTGTATGAAACTAGAAATAGAAAGGAAGGGTGGAAGGCGGGCGTTCCCATTCTGTGTTTATTTTGTAGATGTATCATTATTCTCTATATGGTTCCATTTTGAATCTATACTGAATCGTAAAACAATGGGTTTGAATAGACCTTCAGAAGGTCCATTATTCTGAAATAAGATGTACTCAAATTGCATCCATGCTTACATTCGCAGCTTTACAAATCGAATTACGGATAACTTGTTTTATTTCTTCAAACATTTAGAACAATTGGACAAACCTGTGCTTACAATTCATTTCTTAAAAAATTCAGGCTTGTACGTTGTGATGTTACACTATTGTTTCAGAAAAAGGGTGAAGGTTTGGTACCATTAAAATGTTTAAACCCGCTGCATTTGTTTGCACCTGTCCTAATTCAGGAATCTGATGTTCAGTAGTTGTCGTTTGTTGATGTGGTTCATAAGTGTTTCTCGTTTCTCGTTTTTTATATAGATTAGACCGTTGGTTTTCCCGTTTGAATGGTTTTACACTAGTAATTTTTTGGGGCCCTTTATAGCTTACTGTTCGGTGTGAGCCAAGGCTCCGTGTTGAAGACCGTACTGTGACCTATAATGGTTTACTTTTTTAAATTTTGACTTGGATGGAGAGTTGTCTCATTGGCACTCTTACCACATCTTCTTATATCTATTTGTAACATATTTCATTTGCTTATTTATAAAAGATACCTTTTGTGGAAGTCTCATGGCGACGTTTCTAGGTGTAATACCACCATTGATTTTCCCCTATTAGTCTTTGTTAAATTTGCACTTTTCAAAAAATTGTGCAGAACTTATCTTTGTTTCAAATAAAGAGATACTTGGCATGAGTGAAGTTTTATCCTGTCCAGTACTATAGAAAAAATGTCACATAAAATTTTATTGCATATAAGAAAATATCCATCACTGGAAGTTAACCAATCAAATTTCTCCCCTTATTTAACCTGTGTACAAGATTTAGTAACCATGTAACCTCAAGTTTACAAAATATTCTATAGAAACCCCAAATAAAAAAATAATGGTGCTTTGAAATACCCAAGGCATATGTTTATGACACAGAAATGTTTTACTGCAAAAAAACGAAGGATTAATTACCTACAGCTGTCAAATTCAAGGGAATATTTTTTTCGACCTATTTCCGTATACAACCGGATGTGACGTGCCATGATTTGGTGGTATTACAACTAAAGAAGACATTATGTTTAATAAACTAAATGTGACTTTTTTCCTTTGTAAAACTTGTTATTTCAAGCATTCCTGCCAAGTTTTGTCATAATCAGTTCAATAGTTTGAGAAAAATCTAGTATAATGAAAAAAGACATCTACAGCGATTCGAGCAAAATTTCTTCGACAAATCCAAACCAAGCCGCATCAAGATAGAATATAGTGTGGATCAATAAATGATCAAATATTTATCTCATCTGCCTACAAACAGTTGAATATGATACACAAGATGATTTAAGGAAGATAAATACCACTAATTGACCTCTTTGTCTTCTTTATAATGTCTCTTTTGGTCAATTTATACCTCTCATTTCCTCAGAATTTCAACTTTTCAGGCCAATAAATAAAAATAATGGGGTAACTTTCACTCATTCATCATAGAAATGTTATAAAATATGAGTAATTGAAGTATTCAAGCAGAATGAACAATCCATATACAAGTTTACTGTCTCCAATGAGGTTTCAATAAGTCCTTACGTAAAAATAAAATTTACGCTGCGTTCCAGAGAGGGACATAAAAGGCTTCTCTTTTAGTGAACAATTTGTTCTTACAGCATTAAAAATAATTTCATTTAGTTATAAATATATATATTTTAAAGTAATTCCTAGGAAAATGTTCTATCATAGCAGACTATAAGAAATAAGGTGAAAACAACTCCCCAAAACACTAAGTATGGCTTGTTCTGTCAACTGAATATTCATGGTAGAGTCCTATTTCAATTACATTTCCTCATAAAATGTGTTTTGGAGACTCAATCCACTCAGAATATTTAATTTTTTGTAATATTTCACTTAAATAGCAAGAAATTTTAACACATGAGAGTACTCACAAGGTCAAAGGTGCATTTACAGCTTTCCATATTAGGTGTTATACCACCATCGATTTTCCCCTATTAGTCTTTGTTAAGTTTGCACTTTTCAAAAATTTGTGCAGAACTTATCTTTGTTTCAAATAAAGAAATAATTGGCATGAGTGAAGTTTTATTCTGTCCAGTACTATAGACGGATTTATTCAATTATCGGCCTTTGATAAGATAACTGCCGCTTGCGCGTCACGATAGCAGTCCGCCATTGCACTAGTGAAAGAAATTGTAAACAAAGCGAATCAGTGCGTAAAAATTGTTGGATTATTACCTGTATTATGACTACTCAGATGAAAAGATCAATGCCCTCAGAATTAAATAACGTAACGGAGTGGATTGACGACATGAGAAAGTGGCCAAACATCATGTACGGGGACATTTTTAATTATGTGATATCGTCAAAAGCCGTGGATGGTGCAGAAATGAAAAACTTTAAAAGTCTCCAAAGCTACAACTATTTTCAGAGCGGCAATGTTGACAAAGTTTTGCATAACATTCTCTCGGATGGCAGAATGTATTTGAAAGCAGACGTTCGTGCTTTCCAGAAAGTAAGTAGGGTGAACCAAGCCTATGTAATTTGCTCTATGGACGGAACCGTTGAACAAGGATGGTGTACTTGTATGGCAGGAAAAGGACTATCCTGTAGCCATGTAGGTGAAGTGCTTTGGAAGGTTGAACATGCAGTCAGGAATAACATGACTGGTGCTAGCTGTACAGATGACAATGACATGTGGAACAGAGGTACCAAGAGAAACATTGAGCCAAGGCCTTTGTCAAACATAGTGTTCAAAAAACCAAAACAGGGTGAAAATTTACTAGAAGATTTCAATGTAAATGCTCCAGATGTTTGTGACACACCAATGTATTGTTCTTCCCAAGAACTTAGAACAGCTGTAGAACAGTCTCCCATTCTCCCCTTGTTCAAACTAAAAGGAACAACAATTAATAAAAGTTTCGTCAGCAAACCAGCCGTTAAGGAGAACATTCCTAAAGACCATGGTGAACATGACTCATTAAGTTCTTGTCAAAGGTGCTCATCCTTTTATTCTAAATATCTTGCTGTAAAATTACAAACTGACACTATTAACCAGAGAAAGAGTGTTCTATGGAAAGACGCAAGAAAAATTAGAATAACTACAAGCAGCGCAAGCAAAGTTCCGATTAAGGAAACTACAGACTGTACTAACTTTATTCGTGAACATCTTCATCCAAAGTTTGTAGGTAATGAATTTACAAAGCACGGCCAAGAAGGTGAAATTGCAGCTAAGGAGTATTTATTGACAAATGGATACCATGTCGTTGAAAAGGGAAGGTATGTATCATCAGAAGAGAACTGGTTATCTGCAAGTCCGGATGGCATTTTAAATGACGACACATTGCTGGAAATTAAAAGCCCTGTACCTTCTGTCAAGTGGACACCTTTGAATGAACTATTCACAGGTCAAAAATATGATGTTCATATGAATAACAATGGTATTTTAGTTTTAAAAGTGAAAGGGAATCGATGATTTTTTATGCAAATTCAGTTAACTATGTTTTGCACTGGACTAAGAAAATGTAAACTTTTAATTTGGCTAAATCCTGATGAATTTAAGTTCATTGAAGTATCATATGATGAACAATATGTATGTGAGCATGTTGCTAGACTGCGTACATTTTATTTCAAGAAAATGATGAATATTATTGTTGATGAAATTGAAGATGATAGATTAGTTTTCAGCAAAGCTTTTAAAAGATTTATGCGACTGTGATATCATACATATTTCATTAGGATTTTAATATTTAAAGTCATTTAGTATTTTCATTATGTTTACTAATCAAGTAGAACATTAATACCAAGTTCTTTTCTATATTTTGATTGAATATACATGTAAATGTATAATGTAGATACAACATTCATATTTATTTACATGTATAATTGTTAATTATTTCAATGAAAAGATCTGCTGATATTGAAAATCCTCAGAATTAAAAAAAAATATATGAACCCCCTCAAAGTGTTCTTGTTTCTAATCAGGAAAATCATTTAATACTGTAAATTCAGAAATAAATTAGTGCATTCATTCTTGTCATGTCAAATTTCAATATTAAATATACATGTATATGTATCTTAAAATTGCATCACTTAATAAATAATATTTTTTAAATAAATAAAAACATTAATTAATATCTGATTTTACAGTAGTCAAGTTTCTAATGTGAACTGCCCCCAGTTAACACAACTAAAGATACCAATCAAGCTATCGTCCTGAATATGCACGAAATATTTGCCACTGGACGTTAAGCAACCAACAATCAATCAATCAAATAAACACTTGTTTATTCATTGTATCTTAAATTCTTGAGCAATGCAAAATTTGCATCTTCTTAGTGAATATATGCCTATATTCTTCCATTTGTCTTCATACAAGTTGCAATTTTAAAATCATGGCATTTTGTTTTTCCATTGATAATTGAGTAATTTAGTATGTAAGAATATACATGTAGATCAATAATGTTTATCTTGGAGATCAAATGGTACACAATATTTACACATTGTTGATATTTATCATGGGGTGATGAAGTATTAGTTTTACAAGTAACATTTTATTATGTCATGTTATGTCATAAATATCTAAGATCTAAGGTGTATTGTGGTGAGAATATTGTAGTTGACATTTTATCTTTTGGTAATTGGCTCATCATTATTATCCACACAGTGGTTGTTTTATTTGGTACATATTACACACAGGTATGCATCTTTTAAGAAATGTTTGGTACACTAGTCTTTTGTAGTACATGTATATGATGTGCAAGTACCGAATAGTTTTTAAAACAGCTATATCTATACACAAAAAACAAAACAATACAATCAATTGGACGAAGTCATATTTGCTAGAAAATTATATACGGTACAACATTGGTTTTTATATAATTTATTCAGTGTCCTCCTTTGTAAATGTATCTCTAATGAGATCAGATTGTAAATTCACAAGTGCAGAACAAACAATAAGAATGTCGTCAAAAAGTTTTAGTGAAGACACAGGTACTGTACCACTCAAGATTTTAAACACTTTCAGTCGCCTGATTGCTCTTTCTACATGGATTCTAACACGTGTAATCCTTCGTGTAGAAGTAACGTCCTCAGCACTCAATTGTGGCTTACCCTTAGTAAAGGACGGAATATTAAGTTTAACCCTCGGGGGAAAAGTAAATCCTCTATTGTAAAGCCTCTATCGGCCATTATTTCATCACCAGGTAACAGATAATTAAGGAAACCACTTTTTTCAACAATAAATTTGTCACTTGCACGTCCACCAAACGCTTTTGATATGAACATAATTTGTCCATGAAGAGATATCCCTACCATGTACTTAGCCGTATTGTGCGATTTATAGTTGCTATATGTCTCGCATCGACTTTTCAAATTAGTAGGTTTTTGGATAAATGTTTCAGCACAATCTATTATGCACGTTGTTCGAGGGTAGTTTTCTCTGAAAGATTCTGGGCAGCAGTCTCTTAATATTTCCCTTGGAAGCCAAATTATAAGAGCTTGCAACAATGGGATCCAGGAGTTGAACATTTTGCATGCAAGGCTATCAGAAATTCAAAACCTACGGCCTATATCTTGAAATATCAAGTTAAGTTTAAACTCATTAAAACTAACATTATTTGATCGGCAATATCGAGTTGAAAGCTGAAAGTGTTAAACTAGGACATGCACTCGACCAAAGTGAAAAAAACTTCCTTTGTCACACCAGTATAAAGTAAGGAGTCACTATCAGTCACAATATGTCGGGTAGCTGACATTGTACCTCAATCTAATTTTATTTGCACTCCTTTCTCCTCAGTTAATGTAAGGGTTGTTGGAGCAAATTTATCCTATAAGTCAGTCCATGCGTGTGCATATGAATGGTCGTTGTGGAGTAAAAAGTCAGTTTCTTCATATTGGGTTGACGCACATGTAGTTATTGGGTTGACAACGTTAAAACTACAGACGGTTTCGGGTAAAGATTGGTCAGTTACTTCAAGACTTAAATCAAGTTCTTCAAAATCTGAATTGTCACCATCACAGTCAATCAATTTACGTTTTTTAACATCTGATTCATGTTTACGAATTTTGCGCCGGCCAGGTGTTACTTTCGTTTCATAACCCATTTTAAATTTTGGAAACGGATTTCTTTCCGTCGGCAATCCATCTAGAAAATGTTCCGAGCAAACGAAAACTGTTTTCGGCAAAGTTTTTCTATTGATTGCCTTCGTCCATTCTGCTCTAATTGGACCATCCGACGGCATTAGATGAAATTTATATGGAATTAAACACGCACAGTCTTCGTGAAATTGTCCGTGTATTTCACACATTGATTCTTTCCATACATTTAATTTTCGACGGTTATTAGAGCAACCATTGACTGCACAAGAACTTCCACCACCTTTTTTTATATTTTTTCCCACTATCCATTAATTAATTAAATAAAAAACGTATAGAATATAAATGTAAACAAAAGATCGATAAAGTTGTTATTGATGCTCGTGCGTTATCTTTCACTTCTGCTATGGTCGACGTACCACGTGACGCCTTAATGGCAGCGCACATGTTTTTGAGGTCAGATCTTGATAAATGTGTCTATAGAAAAAATTTCACATGACATTTCATTGCGTATAAGAAAATAATCATTTCTTGAAGTTAACCAATCAAATTTCTCCCCTTATTTAACCTGTGTACAAGATTTAGTAACCATGTAACCTCAAGTTTACAAAATATTCTATAGAAACGCCAAATAAAAAAATAATGGTGCTTTGAAATACCCAAGACATATGTTTATGACACAGAAATGTTTTTATACTGCAATAAAATGTAGGATTAATTACCTACAACTGTCAAATTCAAGGGAATATTTTTTTTCGACCTATTTTCGTATACAACATGATATGACGTACCATGATTTGGTGGTATAACACATCTATACATTTTACCTTTTTCAGTTATACTTCATCTGTTGATGATACTGTTAAGTTTTGTGCATCTTTAAATATACATGTATTTACTTATGTTCAAAGACGTGCATACTGTCAAATAATAAAAATACTAATTATTTCATCTCTAAGAAGATATGCAAGATTACCGCTGCTAATTTTACTAATAGGTGCAGTTTGGGTACTCGGTGCAATTTAGGTACCGTTACTTTACATCTATTGTTTATATGTGTGTAATAGTAACTTAATTATGGTTTATTCATGTAGTTTTTGTTAGTCTTGTTTATTTTTTAATTTTAGTTTCTTGTGTACAATTCGGAGTTTAGTATGACTGTAACGCTTCCTTAACACATTTTGGACCGGTATCAGCGGTTTGCTGGAATCAATGAAATTAGCCATGAAAATTGATAAGAAACAGTTTTCTTTTCTCAAAATCCTGATTATAATAACATGAATAAAGGGTCGAATATTTTAACAGAACTTAAATTGTTAAATTACAAGCATTTATCAATATTGGAATTTCAGAATATGCCATCTATCACACAGAAATATCCCTTTCAATCTGACCAGACGCGTATGTACTATAGTAGCCAATAAAATTATTGGAAAAAAGGACTTTCATTATTAAAACATTATTCTCTGAAACAAGATTATCCGGTAAATTCGACGCAGTGAGCATTCAAGTCACAAAATCGAGACGTCAGAAGGAAACTTATTCTTATGAAAATGATATATAACTGTCAATCCTAGAACTACAATATTTTAAACAACGCTTTTGAATTTCTTCCAATTTTACAACAATATAATGACCAAAGGAACTGATCTTGAAGTTAAAAACAAATATAACCTCTTTTTAACCACTGCTTTTCAAAGTTAGATTCACATCGTTTGGCAAAAATGTGTAGAGAGAAAGACTGTGATTGTAGATGTGGCTAGACTATATTAACAAACGGGACTCTGTGACATTTTAATCTGGAGAGACATTTAAAGTTAATGCAAGAATGAACTGGCCAACTCGCAAACTGGTATATTGCGCAATATTGATAAATGCTTGTAATGTTGTCTCCAATGTTTACTTTTTTTATTTCTAAATAAAGGAGTTTTATTATAGACAGACCACGAACACATTATACAAATAAAAAAAAAATAAACAAATCCCCGATGATATGTGATTCTATAAATGCAGAGCAAATCTCTTTTTCCAGTCGAGAAAAATCTTTTTTTTTAATTGAAATACACAAGTGTGGTTTTATGCTTAGTTGAAACTATCAACATATTTACTATATTTAAACATGTAGGTTTGGCTAGCCACAAAATCGGGTTCAACCCACAATGTTTTCTTAAAATGTCCTGTACCAAGTCAGGAAAATGGTAGATAGTTATCTTGTAGTTCGTATCTAGATCTGTTTGTGTGTGTTACATTGTCGTTTGGTTTTTTGTTGCACTTTGGTGTTTATGTCGTTTCGTTGCTTTCCTATGATAGTTGATGTGTATCCATCTGTTTTAGTTTGTTACCCGGATTTGTTTTCTCACAATCGATTTATGACTTTCGAAAGCGGTATACTACTGTTGCCTTTATGTAAAAGCTATTATGAAGAATCAAATTTATTTTATTGTGTTTATAAACACATAGTTAATTACTTTACAATTCCAACGATGCAACGAGTTCATAATTGTAGTGTTTCTATAAAGAATATAGGGGATATGTCGTATGTATATGTACCTGTCTAATCTGGTCTGTTTTATCTTTCAGATGGGAGAAAAGATCTAAACGGTAAGTATTTGTAATGACATAAGCAACACGACGGGTGGCACATGTGGAGCAGGATTTGCTTACCCTTCCGGAGCACCTGAGATCACCCACAGTATTTGGTGGGGTTCGTATTGCTTAGTCTTTAGTTTTCTAAGTTGTGTCTTCTGTACTATTTTTGTCTGTTTGTCTTTTTGTTTTTGGCCATGGCGTTGTCAATTTGTTTTCAATGGTCTTCAATCTATGAGTTTGACTGTCCCTCTTGTATCTTTCGTCCCTCTTTTTTTAAATCCTTTGTATGTAACATATACTTTCTGTTTTTAATAACAGACAAAATTTTGAAGTATACATTATGCAGTAGATAGTTTCGTTCGTAGATGTCTATTCAATATATTCTATAAGCCATCACAAATTATTCAATACAGAAACACTTAAAACATAACATTTTGGTTAAAGTCATTTATAACCACACGCTGCATATTTTAAGGGTTTATCGTGTCGCATTACACATATTAATGTCGGTCGTTTGATCAATCCTGACACACCTTGGTGTGTTGACCCTTTAAATATGCGTTATCCTTGATATCTTCTAAACAAGGCATCAACTATTGATGTTTTCAATATTGATGTTTTCAACGAGAGCGTTTTAAAGACGAATATGATGTTCTTTCCTATTACAAAAACAGCTATCTTTTATATTATCTGCAATGATTTAAGTAATCTTGTGTCAATATAGAATCAAGCTGCAATACATTAATATACATGTATTTAAACAGGTTTATTTATGAATATCGAATAACATAATACATAATTCTTCCAAAAAATAATGGCTTAATATATTTCTTCAGAAATTAAACGTGTATTTTTCTTTTTTTTCAGCAAATAGTAAGTGTTACATACCATATATATATACAAGTGTTACATACCATATAGAAAACAAAATTCATAAGTGTAAACAAAAAGAAGACATGGATAATTGTGTAAATGAGGTTTTATTATTGATTAACTTGAAATAATAGGCTTACTGAGATAGCAATGCTTGCAACACATGCTTTCTGAAAGAGAAGGGTTTATTTTGCATTTGGCCTTTTTTTTTATGATATCAAAATAAGGAGATGTGGTATAATTGCCAATGAGACAACTACCCACCAGTTGTTGAAGAAATAAAAAGGATAGTTATTGTCCTAGCTCTATGATATCATAGTGTACCATTCCATTATCCCAAGGCTTGTCAATCAAATTCCATAGCGAACTGGATATGACAGAGGGTCTCTGAAAAAACAATTGTAAAAACACTATATCTTATCGATTAATATCTTATATGAGGTATGTGTTGATACGACATAAAACACTATATCTTATCGACTAATATCTTATGTGAGGTATGTGTTGATACGACATAAAAACACTATATCTTATCGACTAATATCTTGTATGAGGTATGTGTTGATACGACATAACAACACTATATCTTATCGACTAGTATCTTATATAATGTATATGTGGATACGACATAAATAACTGTACATATATACTTCTTTTTAGAAGCTACGTTAATCACGAAATACTGTTTAGAGTTTTGATAATGTAAATATTTTGTTGAATTAATGAGATGATTAATTACTTTAGTTATAAGATGTTCCCATTAACTAAACTTATATCTTTGTTACTTTGTAGTGGACGGTAAGTGTTATGTACCAGACAGATAAGTTTACTGTAATAAGTATACACACACTGCGTTAAGTTTGAGAATCTCGAAGAAGTAGTGGACTTGAAAACGATGTTATGGTTGAGGAATCCTCTACTTTCAAATCTTTTCTACTCTACATTTGTACATTATTTAATTTTTCAATACGTGATAAGAACTGTCATTTATACCCGACTTTAATAAATAAGTAAATTTAAAGCAGTATACAAGTAAGGATATCGATTAAAGGGTAACTTAAACATTTAACTGAACGTTTGTCAACCTTCAGGTATTAGGGAAGCGTTTTGTAAATGTACTGACCGACAGAGCAACCAACAATGTGTTAGTGGGTATATCAATTACTTTGAACTATATAAAAAAAATATCGATTATTCTTCATTCGGGCCAATGCGATGCATGACTTGGAAACAAGTACACATATCATGTCATTACCAAATCACAGGTGAATACCTCATCTGAAGGTATAAAGTACAAATATCATGCCATTACAAAATATCAGGTGAATACCTCCTCTGCAGGTATAACGTAGTCATATCATATCATTACCAAATATCAGGTGAATACCTTCTCTGCAGGTATAAAGAGTCATATCATACCATTACCAAATCGCAGGTGAATACCTCTTCCGAAGGTATAAAGTACACATATCATACCATTACAAAATCACAGGTGAATACCTCCTCTGGAGGTATAAAGTACACATATCATACTTTACCAAATCACAGGTGAATACCTCCTCTGGAGGTATAAAGTAGACATATCATACCATTACCAAATCGCAGGTGAATACCTCCTCTGAAGGTATAAAGTAGACATATCATAACATTACAAAATATCAGGTAAATACCTCCTCTGCAGGTATAAAGTAGTCATATCATATCATTACCAAATATCAGGTGAATACCTTCTCTGCAGGTATAAAGAGTCATATCATACCATTATTAAATCGCAGGTGAATACCTCCTCTGAATGTATAAAGTAGACATATCATACAATTACCAAATCACAGGTGAATACCTCCTCTGGAGGTATAAAGTAGACATATCATACCATTACCAAATCGCAGGTGAATACCTCCTCTGAAGGTATAAAGTAGACATATCATAACATTACCAAGTCACAGGTGAATACCTCCTCTGAATGTATAAAGTAGACATATCATACCATTACCAAATCGCAGGTGAATACCTCCACTGAAGTTATAAAGTAGATATATCATACCATTACCAAATCGCAGGTGAATACCTCCTCTGAAGGTATAAAGTAGACATATCATAACATTACCAAATCACAGGTGAATACCTCCTCTGGAGCTATAAAGTATACATATAATACCATTACCAAATCGCAGGTGAATACCTCCTCTGAAGGTATAAAGTACACATATCATACCATTACAAAATATCAGGTGAATACCTCCTCTGAAGGTATAACGTAGACGTATCATGTCATTACAAAATATCAGGTGAATACCCCCTCTGAAGTTATAAAGTAGACATATCATACCATTACCAAATCGCAGGTGAATACCTCCTCTTAAGGTATATAGATCGTCACTCAGTATTGGGTTCTCAGTCCGACCGGACAAGGGCTGTATATCTTGTCAATGTTCCTGAAATAGCTGCTTGTAGTAGGTGTTCTATAACTGATGTCTTTGTCTTTTTATCAAATTATTGATTGTACCTTTGTGTTTGTAAGACGTAGGTTTCACAAAAAAAACCCACTTAAATAAAGCAATTTTAAAGCAATAAAATCATTGTTTGTGAGTCGATATAACTTAAACCATGGTTAAATGGGGGCATTTGTAATGATTGAAAACGTAATAAAAATTCTAATATGACGTGCTTCTTTCGCTTTGTAAACAACACCGTGATAAAATTCTCGATATATCTATATTTAGCGCAGACTCAGAGATATACATCATAATGGCTGTAACAATATACTTCCTATGCCACGGTAAATCCACATGTATTTGAACCTATTTGCAAACCCTTTGTCGATTGTATTGTTTTAAAAATTGCAATTAAAAAAAGACAAAATAACTTTTATTCTTATTCTGATGCAGAATAAAAAGAAGTAATGCACAAGAGCTCGGAAAAATCAACAAAATAAAAATAAAATAAAATTCCGCGAGTCTATTATTGGTTTTGGCGCATCTTAGTCATTTCAAAACATGACGTCATACAAATGAAAACGCTAGAGTTGACAGTTTTCTGTTCCGTGAATTCGTATAATATTGTATTAAAATTTATTTTTGAGGTACCTTTCGCATATTTACTGATTTCAGCAAGTCGACATGGCGGCTCCATATTTACGAAATGTCAACTTTGGATTTGACGGTACCTTATGAGAAAAACATGTAAATTAAAAATGGCAAATGTTGGGTTTGGGTATTAAAGAATTAAACAGATTTTTTTTCTAGCGGTAATGCACGAAATTATCCATGCAAACTACAGATTTATTAGAATATTTCTGTTCCGTGAATTCGTATAATATTGTATTAAAATTGATTTTTGAGGTAGGTTTTGTTTAATTTTCTATTCTATTGCATTATTCGCATATTTGCTGATTTCAGCAAGTCGACATGGCGGCTCAGTATAAAATTCGAATATCACGGCCCAGGCCATGTGTAAATTTCCAACAATCTATGGCTTCCATGAATTATTTCTTAATTAGCATATAAGAAACTGGCAAAAAATAAGACAATCCACATCTTAATTGGACTTTTCAAATATTCATCAATAACCATTATGTGTGTTTTATTATAAATGTCATTGTTAACGGTATACGTCATATCATACAAATGTTCAATGTACTATTTGTGTTATATCAACACTGAAGCAGTGTCTAAAACTCCAATTAATGGAGTATTGACAAATAATTGTAAACCTTGTATATTAAAATTCATTGAATTGATTTACATGTTATGAAGATCTAGAAATTGAAGTTGACATAATGGAAAATACATGACCAATAGTACCCGATCAAATAGTGCAACACATTAAACGTCATCGCACACAACACACACACATTGATGTTTCTTCAATAGATGTTGCATTAACATTAAAATGGCAGGGACACAAGAATCATAATATACCCCTTACATTAGAGAAAACATGATATTTTCATAAATCACTGGCTTGACCATTAACGAATATAAAGTTAAATAATCGGAAGAAAAAAACCGCCACATCAAGATATACTACCATCAGCGGATCTGTGAATCAAGATATACCACTGTTGTTCATTTCATTGCTAAATAGTATTCTGTATTCTATGATTTATTTATTTATATTTTCAGCGGGTAAGTGTCGAGTATTATACAGATAAGTATAGTTTACAATTACATACGCAATGCATAACCTTACGATAGTGATATAACTAAGTTAGTACTCCGTTGTCAACCTGTTGCAAGACGATACTATACACAGCTAAGTAAAGCTTACAATTACATACGCAATGCATAACCTTACGATAGTCCTATACCTAAGTTAGTATTCCGTTGTCAACCTGTTGCAAGACAATACTTGTGGACGAAGACTAGCTTCTGTTCAACGGAAGAAGCGACTTTCCAAAATTTCAATCGGCATATTTTGTTGAACATACTTGAAAACACCATTACCTTCAAAGAGGGATTTTTGAAAGATAAAAAGACAACTTACTGCATTTTCAATATAGACTCATCGTTGGCAGCTCAAAACATTTATTATGTCATTAGATTGAAACATGTGGAAGTAGATTTAACCACTGTGCCTTCATATTATACGATAGCAGACATCTATCAAACTATTTTGTCTTCATTTTATGACAGAAAACTGTTTTCAATAATCGGATTTGTTTATAAATCCTAACTAAAAAAAATTAATACGTCTTTCAGTATTACCACTGTTGGGGTATATTTGCTAGTAATCTCTGTGGGTATAATCTGTTCTTTTATGCTGATATGATTTATAGCATTTCTGTTAATCTGATACCGTTTCGGAGAAACTGTGATCATCATGCACAGGTTTGTACGTAGATTTTGTGAACTCGATGGGTTTTTTGTTGGCATTGTATTGTCATTTCTTTCCACTTAAGAGTAGTGCATGTCCCTTAGTATATCCCACCTCATTTTTAGGTCAATTCGGAAAACGCTTCAAAGCGCCTATTACGCGATGATTTGTTATTTAAATGTTAATTTCACTGTTGACTTTCAAACATTTTGGTCCCTACATAACAGTGTTCCAATACAGTCTTCTAAACCAGTATACTCTGAAACCGACCAGTTATTCATGTTGATGTCAACATAATAATAAAATATGAAAAAAAACAAGTTTTGGCGTCTGAATAACCCTCATAATCATAACTGAAAAAACAGGGACGTAAAACTACATTAGCACCGTCACACTTATATGACTAGAACGCGTCGAAACGTAAAACAATATTTATCAAAGGTCAACTTTGCGTGAACGAGATTTGAACCTCAGTCTTAAAATAATTTCACAATGCATCAGTTGAGAATGTAATTACAGCAGTATGTTATAAATAACAAATGTAAATTTGTGTAAGATTTCATCAACACTATCAAACTTTATCATGAACATACATAAAATACATAGCATGTTACATAAAAACACACATGAGTGACGCTAAAAGAAGCATTCGCCATGTTGAACCATGTTATAACAGTGCTATACAACGACTCATTAGGAAGAGTTCATGCGTCAGAGTATAAATAAATGTATGTACTTTCCTTGGTTCAAGAAACAACACATAACATAACAACAGTACAATTTTATTATTCAAATCTTTACAAAAACAGAACAATGTCAATTGCAAATCCATAATAGGTCGTATAAGTAAACTTTTACTCATGTCGAAGGTCCTCAAGTTGTTATTATTTAATTAATTACAATATTTTCTCATTTTAGCTGTAATACCTGTAACGGGTAAGTACTTATTACAAAAGATAAAAAAAATCATTTAATTAACATAAATTAAAGTCAATAATTATATAACCCTGTCATATTATATGCCATAATGGAGATGAAGTTCTCTTTGAAATAGGATCATATCTAACATATTGACGATATAACTGATGTGTCAAAATTGAACAACGTCAAACTCCAAAATCTTAACAACATTCCTTAGGCAGGCTATGGTCTCTATCAGTATAATTGAAATTTTTGTTGTAAGAACTTTACAAATACATGTAATGATATATTTTAGATATCACGTAACTGTTTTCGTTCAAGCAAAATATATCACGTGACTCCTTCACTTCGACAGTCTTAAAGTGTTCGGAGATACTCAAACTACATTAAAATAGTATACACCACAAATGGTCACCGAAGATGATATTAAACATGTAAAAGGTTATGAATGAAATTAGCAAAACAATGATTTTATTTCCTCTATCTTTCAGGTAAATGGCGCACATACATGGTGTAAAATAGCACTAGAGAACGCAGAAACAGGAAGAAAACAAATATTGATAAAGATGAATAATTTGAATAAAAGTCTTGATGTTTTCTTTGTTATTTCGATATTGACTTATGTATAATTGTAGTTATACATTAACAAAACATGTACTTGGTTTACAGTAATATTTTTTAAATCGAATTGTGTTTACTTATTCAAGTTATTCCATTAAATGCATCATATTTGCTTACATCAGTAAATGAACAATGTTTAGATATTATTATGAATTTCGAGTATGCTTCTTTAATTTATTGCTTATTTGACGGATTTTATCGTCCATAGAACATCAGAATACTAAGGCAATTGAAAAACTAGAGAAATGATATGGCATCATCAATATGACATATAATATGCCAATCCACACCCAAACAATAAATAAAGCACTGTATCGTTTGAGTTAAAATGAGCTGTGAACAACTCATTCAACATTTGTATATAATTTGTCACGTATTAAATCAATGCAACGAACCTTCTTACAATGGAAGCATTTTGAATGTTACTCATTTATTATATTGGTTTACAATTAGTATAAACAAAAGTAGTAAGATGCCAAGTGGATATTCTAAACTAATATGACAAATGAACCCGACAAATAAGAAACACAGCGAAAAAATGGACTGTTTCACAAACTCTACATAGAAAATTAAAAATTGAGAATCACTTAACCAAGGCAATGTGAATAATCTCAAAATGTCAAACAAGATATTAAGATCGTTTTCTAAATTTGACATGGATCGAGTAACACATGTTCGGTATGTTGCAAGACAAATTATAATATTACCTGTTTTTTTAGCCTTGTATATAACATCGTTATAATATTCTTGACATATACTAATTATGTTTTCTACTTTTGATTCCACAAATCTCAGTACCTTCTTCAGTTGCATTGCCATTGGTATAGTGCGTATCATGGTGGTCCTTATTTATCATAAATGAATCGTTGATTCTTTTTTTGAATTCATATCAACAGTCTAATCTATATAAAAACGAGAAACGAGAAACACTTATGGACCACATCAACCAACGAAAATCACTGAACAACAGTTTACTGACTTAGGACAGGTGCAAACAAATGCAGCTGGTTTAAACGTTTCTATAGGTACATACCATCACCCTTACCTGAAACAATAGTGCATCATCACAACATGGAAAGACATACTATGAAATATTAATTGAAATGGTTTAAGTCAATCAAAAGACATACTATTACAAGTGAACACACACTGAATGAATTAATATGATCTGCCAAAATGTAAATACAAAATCAATAGAGGGGTTATATGTAAAACAAGGTCAGAAAGACAAATATAACCTTGAACAAAATGCTGCCAAAAAGAAATTTTGGCAGACGTTCAGGATTGTTTTATGTTTTTTTTTTTTTGTTCTGTGGCATATAATTTAATTAACTTGAACGGAATTGACACGACTAAAACAATTCAGATACCAAATATTTCTCTTAATTGATGACAAAAGAAATCAGTTCATAATTTATTACAGCATTGCTGACCTAACTCCCTATTGTTTGAGATATTTGTTATGCTTTGCGTCAATATATTACTCTAGGCCATACCTCGGCGGTCAGGTTTTGTTATGATGAGGAAGCTGATGCATCCAAACAGAATCTATTCAATACAGACCTCAATTGGACTTGGCCTGACGAGGCGGATTTCCAGCTGACATCCAATTATGTGAATAGCCAATAATTACTGTTAATTCACTATATAACTGTTGATTTTTAGCAGGATAACTAATTTCCTTTTACTCTATAAAAAACCTTCATTGTTATTACATTTAATATCATAATACTGCCTTCTTCACAACTCATTATTGAAACAGAAAAATTGAAAAAAAAAAAATGTTTTTTTACTTCAGGTTTCTCGCTAGGTTCGTGTTGATAAATCTGTAGTGTTATGTATAATACATTGTGATGCTTCCCTTTTTAGCCATGTTGTTGCCATTGTTTATTGAACTAATTATGCTTGATTAGACTTTTTATTAAAGCATTGATGTTCACAATCGACTGTCAATGAAGAGTTCAACCTCTCCAGCATTCACATTCATAATCGACTGTATATGAATGGGTAAACGAATCCAGTAGTCACATTCACAGTCGACTGTTGATGAAGGGGTCGACGACGTCAGTAGTCACATTCACAATCGACTGTTGATGAGAGGGTAAACGAATCCAGTAGTCCCATTCAAAGTCGATTGTTGATGAAGGGGTCGACGACTTCAGTTGTCACGTTCAAAATCGACTGTTGATGAAGGGGTAAACGAACCCAGTAGTCACATTGACAGTCGACTGTTGATGAAGGGGCGACGACTTCAGTTGTCACATTCAAAATCGACTATGGATGAAGGGGTTAACGAATCCTATAGACACATTCACAATCGACTGTTGGTGACGGGTCAATGACTTTATCAGTCACATTCCCGAAATGCAGATGAATTTAGTACAATGGTTTCGTTTGTATAGTTTAATTTAGTGAACCACCAGTAATTTCTAAATTTTTGGAATAATCGTATATAGTTTTTCAACAAGTTCAAACGAGATTAAAAATACTCCATTCACAAAGATTAACAGATGTTGCAACAGATGATGACGAACATTGTGCACAGGGATTGCCGGGTCCTGCTGAAGTTATTAGCCCGAAAACAATACAACTTAGCATTTCATCTACTTCGAAATCTCATTAGAGGTGTATTACCTGCAAGAAGGAAAACACTAGGAGACATCGCCTAGTGGTTGTTCCAAAAGAAGCAGCCACTCAGGCGCTTATTGATAAGGCCATTTTTATATCGACAAATAGCAGATGTTGTCCAGACCATCTTATTGGCAAATATTTTAAACAAAATTCATAGAAAACAGTACAACAATCCTCTTGATCATCATATTTTAACCGTACGGACATACCAGAGCTGTTGGAAAGAACTCGGGCAGTCATAACAGATTCTGGCAAGCTCGTTGCTAGGTTGTTGCTAAGCATTTAGTAAACTGAAACTAAAGTGACTTCTCATTCTTAATTTCAAGTTATTCTTACACAATCAATTCAATAACGAATTGTGTTAACTTGCAGAGATACAGCCATTTACAAGTGATAACATAGCTATCTAGTGAATCCGTTGCTAGGCAATCATCCATTGAACGGTACATAAAAATATCATTATTTTTTCAAGTTCTATTCAAAGGCTATCAATAATATTAATATAAATTTATTTGGAGAGGAGGCTAAAAATGCCCCTTATCGTACCTTGTCCTTTATCAGCAATACGACAGCTGTCTCTGCTGGTTCCGTTACAGTTGAACGGCAAACGATTTAATGGCGTCTAAGTTCAAGACATTGGTCACGTGATAAAAGGTCAGAGTTTACCGTTTTCTTGTGAACGTGTACACCTCTTGGTTTTTTACCTCGTATCGTCTAATTGTAACTCGTACATAAATAAAACTTGTAGGGTCCAAATTTTGAGTGAATAAGCTTCATTATTATGTATACTTATTTATGGAAGGTGTTAAAAAAGTATTCTAAAACAACGATGGAAGTTGAAATTTTTTTTGGAAAATTTGCGTAGGTCTACGGAAAATCCCAAATTATTTCTTAAATGGGTTTGGTAACGTATGGAGGGGTATAAAATATGAAGTAAAACCATTTTCTGGATCTTATATATTAATTATAGATCATAAATTCCCCGGATACGCAATTGTGTCAGCATATTCGTGGCGAAGCGGAGATCAACGGGAGATAACTCCGTACACGCGTCGTAGGAAACTGCAAGTTCACAACAGTAAATTCGAGTAAAATTAATGATTGTAGTTATATTTCGACACTTTTTTGAATAACCATTCAATATTTAATGTTCCTCTACTCTTGTAACATTAAAATAGTCATGGAATGTTTGAATATGGCATTTTTTCAAGTACCCTAAAACAGGTTTTTGAAAACTTCCAAAGAAGAAAATTATAGATAACTGACTTTTCTCTGAAACTTGGACTTATTTGTATATTCTCAAACACCCTTTTGGTAGATGGAATGATACAAGTCTTTGTTTTACTTTCTTTGTATCAATATTCTTAGAAAGGATATGAAAATAAACTCAGTGTTTGTACATGTTGGTTGTTTAGAACAGTTTGTTTAAATATATTAAAATTTCACTCTAAAATTAGACTTGAATTTTTATATTTAAATAAGTATCTAACATAGAAAGTTGTTAATCTGGTGCACTGAAAATGTTCCATCAGAAATGAGATTTAACAAAGTTATTTAGACTGAAGAACTTGTCACTTTTTATGCTGATCATATGGGGAAAAAAGAGTGATATTATAAATTCTAACACAGCATCAATTGTGAAACAATAGTTCTTTCCTACGGACATTTTATTTTTCAAGATGCGAGGCTTGCCGATCAATTTACATATTTGAGATTTCACTGTTAAGAGTGGAAAAATAACTTATTGACAGAGATTCTGTATGGGAATGTTTCTCTTGATATTTTTAAATACATTTATGTTACCAACTACATTGTATCTTTGTTTTTCTACTATGATCTGCAAAGAGATGGGTTCTTTATGTGTGACCTCAATGATCGTCAAGCATGATTATTGGTAGCCTTTATTCCTGATGTAACAATGGAAAATTCTCAGAAAAGCAAGAACTTTTAAGCAGATCCAGGTCTTTTATAAAGAGAGGGTGGATTATTCCTAATTTCCATATACAGAAAAAACATATTTCATTTCATGCCAAATAATTACATACAAGAGGGGTTTATCAGCCATTTGTCAGCAGAACTTGTGTTGTAATAGAATTTAACATTGCATTACATTAAAATACAATATGGAAAAAAAGAAAATATAGACAATACATGCCTCCTCCTCTTTGAAAATTGGCTTGATCCACCCCCGAGATAAGAAACTATATAAGATGTACAAGTTCCGTTGCTCGCTCTTACTCAAGAGAAAAAATCTGAACATCCAAAAAGCCAGAAAGGGATTTAAAACATTATAATCAACACAAAGAAAACTGAACAAAAAGCTGTATTACAATCTGATATCATGCAGTTCTCAT